TTAACTGCTGGGCAGCGTGCATGGACGGGGGAGCGGGCGGCAACTCGCGTTTGTTTCCGAGACTTTTCCCCTGTGAAACTGAAAGCGGCCTTAAAGAGAAATACGCAGGAAAGGACGGACATCGGCGGCTCACACAGCACAACCGTTCAGTTACGGCACTAGCTTTCTTCCCGGAGCAGTAGCCCAAGAGATCATCTTTAATTATTTAAAATCAAGATTAATCTCCAAATTCGCAAAGATAGGAGAACACAAGCCAGTGCCGAAAATACTCGGCCCCACGTGGTGCCCATATGTACTGTGAGCTACAGGGCATCCCAGAAAGGGAATCGCCAACTCACTTCAGAGGAGTGGAGCTATCTACAGCACCCCAGATACGGACTGAGCGGGTTTAACTTTTTTTTTTCTTTTTTCTTTTTTTGACAGTGATGGAGCTATTGGAGTCAACCTCCCCCCGGAAAAAAAAACCAAAACAAACCCAAACCAAAACAAAACAGCAGACAAAGATTCAAAGCAGATGCAGCTAAATAACTGCCCTGCACTGCACGAATGACCCTGTGCATCACACTCACTACATCAACTTTACTTTTTTCAAACGTATTATCACATGAGAAACTGTAGGAAGTTTAACAAGATTTATTTCCCCTGCAGAAAACCCGACCTGCTTCAACTTGATCACCACGCAAGCCAAAGAAAGAAATTAAACCAAAAAGAGCTGGTGTGGTATCACACTCTCCCCTCTCAGAGCCGTACACAGTATCAAACCCAGCTTGGTTAGAAGCCAGTCCCAGGTATGCTGCAGGGACACGCCGCCAATGAACTACACCACTGCAGCTTTTGGTTTAAGAGTTTGCCAACAGTGCTAAGGAGAATGCTCACATGCCATGAGAAAGCTTAGCTCCCTGGAACATGGCACACCAACGCTAGATAGAATCATAGAATCATTAAGGTTGGAAAAGACCTCTAAGATCATCGAGTCCAACCGTCAACCCAACACCACCATGCCCACTAAACCATCTCCCTAAGCGCCTCATCTACACGTCTTTTAAATACCTCCAGGGATGGGGACTCAACCACTTCCCTGGGCAGCCTGTTCCAACGTTTAACCACTCTTTCAGTAAAGAAATTTTTCCTCACGTCCAATCTAAACCTCCCCTGGCGCAACTTGAGGCCATTTCCTCTTGTCCTATCACTTGTTACTTGGGAGAAGAGACCGACACCCACCTCGCTACAACCTCCTTTCAGGTAGTTGTAGAGAGCGATGAGGTCTCCCCTCAGCCTCCTCTTCTCCAGGCTAAACAGTCCCAGTTCCCTCAGCCACTCCTCATAAGACTTGTTCTCCAGACCCCTCACCAGCCTCGTTGCCCTTCTCTGGACATGCTCCAGCACCTCCACGTCCTTCTTGTAGTGAGGGGCCCAAAACTGAACACAGTATTTGAGGTGCGGCCTCACCAGGGCCGAGTACAGGGGCACGATCACTTCCCTGCTCCTGCTGGCCAAGATGAATCAAGCAGGGGAAAAAGTGGCATGAAATAAGATACATAAACTTTGAAATTCAAAAATACCTTTTTTTTTTAAAGTACACTTTACTGTAAACTGTTTACTTTACAGTAAACTGGCAACACCCTACTAAAAGATGAAACACCTTTTGCCCATACAAGAATACTGTGAGATTTTGAAAACTATTTTTATTTTAAGCATTCTGGAAGGTCAGTATTCAGTAACAGAAAATATAGGCATTCAAATTTCTCTCTCAATAACTAAAAGTAGGAAGAAAATATTAACCCTTGAGTGGCATTTTCTTGAAATCAGACTAACTTTTCTCTTGCCACTGGTACCTCAGGTAAGCCCGAAGCTGTGGTTATGGCCAGCATGAATTACCTTCCTCCTTGCCATTACATTTTGCATAACGTTCTGCTGGCAGAAGAGCAACACGTTTCCAACCAAGGAAAAGGAAAAAGTCACACATGTTCATGAGAAATGCATGAAAAAAGTGCAGCCAGTAACTTTTGCCAATGGTACAACATTAATTTAGAAATACATACATCTTTAACTGCTTACACGTACACGCAGTATTTGTCTGAGTGGAGAGTGGGGACACACCAGCAATTTAGACCACGGTGGAGCTTCAGCATGACTGCGGTCAGGTACTGGCTCTTCAGCTGATACACAACGAAAAGGGTGCAGGGAAAGATGAGAAGGGGAGATGAATGAATAAACGGATAAATATTCCGGATCTGGAAGCTGTGGAAGTGGGAAGCATTGCTTCTGACAAGTACACACAACCTAAGCTTCCTTGCTTCTCCTCTTCTCATTGACCTTTTCTCACCCTTTTCACCATAAGCGAGGTGATAGTTGTCTTTTCTGTCACTCCCTCTCACTACGAAATTTCCAGCCTTATGTGTGACAGTATCCCATAATTGACAAAGGTTGCTCTTTCTAATTTTCTCCTTAATTATTAAGTTAATTAGGTGTCTTTTGATTTGTCCTTTCACCTCCCTCCATTCTCTATTGCCTGTCTCACCTTTGTTACTTGCTATTTCAGCAAGCACTCCTGATTTTTCTCATAAATAGCGATCCTTCACGACCCTTCTGCCCCCAACCCCTTCACTTTCTCGTCCATGAGACCACACCTCCTGCTTTCTTCTGCTTCCCTCCTCCGGTTCGTGGTTACACTCATGTCCTTCTGCAGGTGAAAGTGCCAGCCACCTCGGCATCAGGAACGGGGTCTACCCACAGCACTCCATTCCCAGGCACCACAAGCACCACTTTGAAGACAGATGCACAGAACATGTCACATTTTATGGACCACAGAAATACATCAGGGTAGTTTTGTGCTTCTCCAGAAAAGCAACAGAGAGGTGGTGGAGAAGCCTTGCCCTGTTTACAGCCTCCACAGAAAAAAGAACATAGATTAATCCAATCACGCCTTAGGAAAAAAAAACCATGAAATTGTGTTTTAAAAACATGGGATGAAATTCATCACCTATGTAATTTAGCTCACTCTACATATGTAAATATTTCCCACTTTTCTGATACCTCTGTGGGCCTTACATAGACATTTATATGAGCAAAATTTTAGATTTTTACTGTTAAGATTTTATTAATTTCTGCTGCTCGTCTCCCCCAGGAAATCAACACTCCACTTGTGTTGCTGGGATAATTTCCTCAGTAATGGAGTTGTTACCGGTAAGGTTACTGTTCTAGTTGAGGAATAAACATCATACTTAATTTTGAAGGAAAACCCCAATATTAAAAAAAAAAAAAAAAGGAAAAAAGGAAAAAAAGGAAACAACTGCTCTTAGCTTAAATTTCTCCTCACATCATAAGAATTTTAAGTAAAAAATGGAAAAAGGAATACCACTAACAGAAACATCAAACCACTGATTACCAATGTTAGTTATAGGTCTTATTAGTCTACTACAAACCATATGCATCTTTCCTCCAGTGTGTTTGAATCAGGTCTATAGTGAAATTTTCTCCTTATTTCTATAGTCCCCAACGAGTCTAGTCAGAGGGAAGCATTAAGCCTGGTTTCAGGAGAAAACAAGGTAAGTTGTGCATCTCTGGATGAAAGAATAGGAGCGACTGATGAAGACTTATTCCACTTGACATTGTAAAGAGATTGGGATGTGATTATGAGTGACAGGATGAAAGGTAAGAGCAGGCAGAAGTAGGGTAAGACACCTAATTAACAACAGAAAAACAGGCACTTTGCCCTGCAGGTAGGCAGCACTGCCAGGTCATGTGGCAACATCTGGCATCCTGATACAAGTGAATTAAATACCAGAGCCTGAAGCTCACACCTCATGCCGACAGACACCTCCTTTCTGCTTACTGGTCTCCGCTCTCAATCTCTTTGTACCACACTCGAGGATGTACTGAGAAGGTATAAATCCCAAACGGCTTCAGAAAGTGACCTTTTGCCACACCAACAGTTATCTCAATTTTGATTTTTATTACGTGGACAGAGAGGCTGATATTGGGGGGCTGTGGGGGGAAAGATGGCCGAAGATTCACACCAAAAATCTACAGTGGTTACTTTCTTCCAGGTTATTCCTCAGGTTTCAAATCATTGGTGGCCAGCTGAAGTCCTTCCATGGTGGAATCAAAGTGAGAAGTTTCTGAAATAAAAAAATAAGAGATTCTGCTGAAATACCACAACAGCACAGACTGTAGAAAGGCTTTAATGGTTGCAAATCCAACCCTCAGATCGAGAAGAGTTCACCTGTCTGATATTTTTAAAAGTGTCTGTCTTTCTCATACTCAGCTGTTGGTTATTCCTTTAAAAAGTTAAAAAGAATGGAGAGGAAGCAGATGATGGAAAGCAAAGGAAAAATAAAAAATGCAAGGAGAATGGAAAAGGAAGAGAAGAAAACTTGGATGTCAAAACTAGAGACAGTAAGGACCTAGCAATCTCAAAGCTGAAAAATAAGGAGAAGAGTAACACAGGGGAAATTTTTTTCCCCTACACGTCACAAACACTATATAATGAATAGCCATTCAACCCATACTACTATAGCATAGCTACATCTCGTCATTGTTTTGTTATGTTGCGAATTTTTCCCCCTGTTACATTCACTCAGGACCCCACTGGCCTCCAAGTTACAGAGTTCATGTGAGGCACCAGCACAACCTGATGGTTACTCTTTTCTGAGAGCTCCAGAAACACTGTTCTGGGCAGCTCTTATTCCCCCTGGTAATTATACTCTCTGCTTAAGTAAATTTTAGGCCAGGTTTTCCTGGTAAGCACTGTAAAAGGCAGGTGAGGTTTTCTGGTCATAATTCTGTACAATTTTTTCTTGCTTCTTTTTGTTTAAAATTAGTGGTTAAATGTCAAAGGATAGAGAAATTTTTTTTTTTTAATTATCGTATCAAAGTAGCAACTGGAAGAGGTTTGGCCATGGGATGATACTTTCTGTGGCGCTACTGGAAGGCTGCTTTGGTTTGCTTTGTATCTTTTAGATTTTTTTTTTTCACGCTAGCCAAAAGATGGTCCTGCCTGTCCCAGATATGTTCCTGCTCCTTTGCCCGTGTCCTGCTGATCGCATGGCTCTAGGACAATTTGTTTCAGCTCAATGGTCCAGACTGAAAACTTTTTGGACGTCTTCATGCATTGGATGATAGAGCTGGACTGCCTCGCTCTCTGGCTGCGGAAGCGTTGCATCCAGCAAAGGGAAGCGACAGGAATAGCACAGCCAGGGAAAGGAGGAGCGATAATGCATGTCATCAAGAGATTTGTCTCCTCAAAACCATGACCCTACAGGGCTGTCGCAGAGGAAGTGTTCCTGCAGGGAGTTACTGCAAAGTGACGGCTACGCTTCAAAACCAGACATGCCAGCTTTTATTTTGCAGTAGTCCTGCAGATAAATACTTAAACCGACACTGGGTTTTGTCATCTTGTTCTACATTTGCAAAGCATCTGGCACTCAGGAGTCCTGGTCTAAGGAGAACTTCTAGGCACTGAAACAATGCTGTTTTCACTGATCTCAGCATTTTTTAGTTTGGGATCTCTTGCTTAACCTCCACAACAAATAATGATGTGCTGCCAATGCTGCAATAAGAAGCTTTCGCAACAACTTGAGATTAACCCTGTGTTTTCACAGAGGAACACCACCACTGCTCACTCTTCCATTTGAATAAAAACACCCTTTCACAACATGAATACAGAAGCATGAAGCTAACAGATAAAGTTGCACTTGGCCAGTATTGCTTAGTTTACTCTCAAATCTAAAGAGACTGAAATTATCGTATTAGCTGTCCATTTATTTTCTATGATTTAAAAAGCTTTCAGTAGGAATGCCTCAGTTTTCTTACTTTTTTTTTCCCCTGATATTTGATGAAATCAAATTCATTTCAACATTTATAGTTGTTCACTTTAGCAGTTTTACAACCACTCCAGGACATCATTCTTGGCAAGTCTGCTTTAATCAGCAACGGAAAAGAATGATTTTGTGGTGAGGAAAGATGACCTTATCCCTCAAAATCAGTGGCACCATTGACCAGAAAAACTCAACCTGCCTTTTACAGGGCTTACACATCCAGACCTCACAGGACCGCTAGAATACCCATGTGGGGTCTGGCCAGGGGTCTGTTACCCAGTATCCTGTGCCTGACAGGGAGCACGAGTCGACTGAAAACCCTAAGAGATGCTTTTTGCTTTTCACATACTTTTTAAAAAAAAATTTGACATCCTAACATTTGTATAAGCTTAAAAGCAGCCTTTCATCTGAAGGTATGGTTGCACAATATGTGGCCCCCTGGTATCAGAGCTGACTGCCACCCAGGCAGGAAGCCCCTCTCGTCCTCCCCCTCGCGTCTGCACCAGCACAGCCCCATCTGCTCCCTGGCCCCAGCTTCGGCACTGAGTTGGACCTTACGCAAGCTTATCTAAATTCGCTAGCCCACCAGAAAACTATCCGTTTGTTTGCTATGGAGTTATAGCAAGTTAAATTATAGCCTTTATGTCAGCCAGCGAGTGCCGGAGCTGATAACTGGAGCAGGGCTGGGAGGAAGGGCACTTCCCGCTTTTGCCAGCGGCGAGCCATCACACCGGCTCGGCCCGAGGCAGCAGACTGCAGCTCCAGAGCAGCCTAAACCCATCCGACCTCTGGTGTCTCCTCCTCTCCCACCAACAGCCATCGGGACTTTCCCTGACTCGTTTCAGATGTTGAACTAAAAAAAACCAAAACAAAAAAACCACAAAAATCCCCGACTGACTTCCCTCCTCCTCCCAATACAAAGCCCTAACCAGCTTCGCATTCCCAAGTCAAAGGCTTTGCTGAGCACCGAAGCTGCTGCAAGGAGGATGGGACCATGCGGCCAGGACCAGGGCAATCAACCGTTACATAAGTTTCATCTGCCAGCAGGGACCTCCAACTTAACCATGCCACCTCAGCACAGATCTTCGTGACCAAGTCCTTCTGCGCAGAGCGCGCAATGCCTTTTTTTTTATTTTTTTTAAAACCAAACACTGATTGGCAGTCTTCTTTCATGGCACAGTACGCATTGCTTTAATTCTATATTCCCTAGAACTAACATAAGCCAGCACAGTAGAGTATTAGACTGCAAGAGCACGTTACAAACTGGGATTTAATGATGTTTTGTTTCAGACCAGCAGTCAGTGGCTGGCTCACAAACGCGCAGGGCTGTGGATGGCTTCTGCTGCGCTCACGACAAGCAGAAGAGGAAGGCTGAAACAATTCTGGGAGTAGTATGGCAGAGAGACAAAGGGTGTAAATCTAACAGAAAAAAACAGTTTGTTGGATTCAGCAACCAGATAAAGGTATCGACAATAAGGCAGAACACTCTGCTAACATATGTCTTTCCTTTCTTGACGTATGCAAAGAAAAAAAAAAATATTTCCAGGTTAATCACAGTTTTTTCGAGGAAGAGAGCAGAGCTCTCCAAGTTTTTCTTTAGCATAAAAACATTTTAATCAATAAACCTGGACATTTCTGGGTTGTAGCTTAGGTTACAAATCCACACTGAGACGGCCAGTCAGTATCATAAGCAAAAATCTTGCCTGTGGAGTGTTCACATTTGCAATATTATAAATAAGTAACTTATGAAAATTTGTGGCTGACATAGGGCTAAGTATTTGGTGAAAATATTTTTTTATTTTGCTTATTGCTTACCAAATATTTTAGTATTTGATTATGTAAGAGGACAATACTGCTACCAGATGTTCTTGATTTTATTAATAATCTGTGCTGACAGCACCTTGTGAGATCAGTGCTGTCTGTACTATGTGGTTCAGAGAGATTCCCCTCACCTTCCTACATCGGTAGTTGGTACAGGCTAATCGGCAAATGACCTGCAACGTCATTTTTGTCATCAATGCTATAAAAATGCATATAATCAAATCAACCCCCATTCAAGAGGTTTCAATTCCAACCCAAACTATTCAACTACTTTGCTTCTGTCATGAACCTCCACTGTGAAAATTAAGAAACCTTCTAAAACATCAACTTCTGCATTTATAACTGTCCCAGCACAGCGTATGTCTACCTCTTTGACTCCTCCTCCAGCCATCGACTCGTGCTCACGTCAGGCACAGGATGCCGGGTGACACAGACCCCTGGCCAGACCCCACGTGGATGATATTCCAGCGGTCCTGTGAGGTCTGGTTGGGAACAATTTAAGCCTCAGGATCTGGAATTTTTTTTCTGGCTCAATTTGCCCATGGTGCAAGTTATTCTATGTACCTCAGTTTCCTTATTTTAAAACTACAGATTAATGCATTTTCCACTTTGGAAAGAACAACTGATGGAAAATGATATGGAAGTTAAGCTAGTGTTTTCCAGCTGGATTCAAAAGTCCTTCCTTCTTATCATACTCTACCTAAAATATCTCTCATAAACAAACTGAAGAAACTTTGCCAAGTTACGAAAGGGTTCAAAAATTCACAAGATAAGCATGAACACGATAGAGTACTTTCTAATACTCAATAGCACACTTTGTCATACCAAATGAAAACGTTCATGAAAAATTAACACTTCAATATATGGAGTCCTATTGCGACCTCCTGCTGCTGATGCTCTACTGAAAAGCAGAACTGCCACATGTTTTCATAACTTAGTGAAATGTTGTTTTATTGTTCAGACAATGCTCTTCATAATTAGACCCTTAACACAGCATCGCTCTCCATGCTGAAGAGATGAGGAAAACAGTACTGAGATGACATGACTCACTACACATCACTGCAGTAATTAAACTGGGAATAAAGTCCAGCTCTTCGGCATCCTAGACTACCGCTTTCACTTCATCAGGCAGGTTTTAGAATTTTTTTTGAAAAAATAATATGGCTTTAATAACAAATAATAACAAAATGCTGCCCTTCTCTTTTCCCAACTCAGGATTAAAAAACAACAACCCTCATCCCTAACGTGAAGAAAAAAATCAAGTTAGTTGGGTAATACTAAGTGCACCTTAAAAATTACAACAAACAATGTTCTTTAGGTGTTTGGTCAAATATCATACAAGAATCATAGAATCATAGAATAGTTTGGGTTGGAAGTGACCTCTGAAGGTCATCTAGTCCAACCCCCCCTGCAGTGAGCAGGGACATCTTCAACTAGATCAGGTTGCTCAGAGCCCCGTCCAACCTGACCTTGAATGTTGCCAGGGATGGGGCACCCCCCGCCTCTCTGGGCAACCTGTGCCAGTGCTTCACCACCCTCAGCGTAAAAAATGTCTTCCTTATATCTAGTCTAAATCTACCCCCCTTTAGTTTAAAGCCATTCCCCCTTCTCCTGTCGCAACAGGCCCTGCTAAAAAATTTGCCGCCATCTTTTTTATAAGCCCCCTTTAAGTACTGATAGGCTGCAAGAAGGTCTCCCTGAAGCCTTCTCTTCTCCAGGCTGAACAACCCCAACTCTCTCAGCCTTTCCTCGTAGGAGAGGTGTTCCATCCCCCTGACCACTTTCATGGCCCTCTTCTGGACCCGCTCCAACAGGTCCGTGTCTTTCTTATGCTGAGAATGAAACACATTCACAAGTGCGATTACCTTTTCCTTCATGCAGAACTTAAGATGGTCAATCATGACTGATGAAACTCAGCATCCAGACAGCCAGCACTAGCATAGGTCATGATGTTCTCCTCTCTCACCCCTTGAAACAGCTCCATTTCTGGAAGTGTTTCAGAAGAGTCTTGGTTCTCTTGGACATTTTTATTTAGATCTTCAAAATTAATACTATCATCTAAAAAATAAACAAGTTACAAACTGCAGCCAAAACCACCTGAAATGATCAAATTATCTTATATAGTCTGTCATTTATATTAGCTCAGAATAGAGTATTTCTAGAACAAGCTTTCATTTAATCAAAATACTCCTGATTTTGCCTCCTAAACAAACTACAAAATAAATTGTTTTTCAGATTTGTCTTTGACAGGGAAAGAGTGAGTGAGTGAGTGCATATAGCTACTCTTATGCTTCCTCTTAGCTCTCCTAGAGCGTCCTTTTCTCTTTTTTAAAAAGGAGAAACTTCTCTCCTATTTCAGAGAGAAATTTTCCTATTTTCAAATCCTATCAGCTTCCAGGGAGCTACTATTGTGTATTTGTTATCTCATATTATGCAACTTGCGAAATTATACTACATTAATATGGAAATCATGGAAAAAGACAACCAGCAACTTTATCCCATAACCTACACAGGGCAGGAATTAACGCATGCAGAAATCCAGAGCTTCCCATGGACCGATACCTCTTGCTGCTCCAGAGCCTGACCTATTAGTATGCTGGCAATCTTTAGTGACCAATAAGTTTCATTAAGTTGAAGACGCTCAACTTTTCAGAGAAATAAAGTCTAAAGAAAGACTTTTTCATGATAAATGTCCTTCCGATCTGGAATCGGGTAAACTTGAGCTAAGCATTGGATTAATTCAATATGGGAAACTTTAAAAGGCAAAGAATTTCAGCACTTGCATCAGGAAATACAAAGTGATGATTCACAGCAACCGTAGCTCTGCCATACTATGTACACAATCAACAGAAGCACAAATTCATTTATCACATCCTAGTGCTTTTGCACGAAGAGGAGCATTATCACTCATTTGTGCTGAAAACCTTCAACGCACTTCAGCATTAACTATTTTCTCTTCTGAACAAGAAATATTTTATACAGTTTTTGTATCACAGAATACACTTACCAGCCAAGGCATTTCCATTCGGCAATCCATTTGTTTTTTGTTTCTCCTAAAACAGATAATAATAGTCCAGAGAAAAAAAAGAAAGTATGTGACAAGAGATTTTCATATTTTGGGAAAGAACAAGGTCCATGCTCTATTTTATAGTTACTATTTCATTGTATTTACAGTATTTTCCTCATTTCCAGTACCAGACACTACTACAGTGCTCCTTAAAAACAAACCTTCGCAAAGCAACAGCCACAGTGGGAAGTAGCAAAAAAGTAATTTGTAAGGTAACACTTTCTAACTAGACGAGGAGAATTAAGTTGCCATCAGTCACTCAGAATAACTTCTCTGCTGCAACTCTTTGTAGAAGTAGCTGTGAAGAAGCTACTGTTAGCGGAAGATGAAATTTGCTCAGATGATGGGAGAAAACCGTAAGACGGAAAACAACTAGATGATGGTAGGTTGTACTTAAAGAACACAGGCCAGATCAGAACACAAGTATCAAGGAAAAGGTCAGGTTTTTTTCTCCTTCAACTACTTCGTATACATTTCTCAAGCTGATCTTTCAAAACCTGAATCCTACCATGGCCTGGAGCTGGTTATGGAAATATTCAGAAGACTACATAAAACATCCATCTCCTCATTGTGGGTATTAAAAAAACAAAGCAAATTTACGAGCAAAGGACATCATCTTGCTTATGAACTGAAGGATTCCTCTTTACACCTGGAATATTGGAAAGCCTTCCAAAATCCCCTAAGTTCGTACCTCCACAGAGGTCTTCCACAGTAAATAGATCATCTTTGAAACTTTCCAGTCAAGAGGAACTATATAATCATCTGGCAACAAGGACTCTGCAGAAGAAAATATTTTTTGCAGTTGAGTGTTCAGATCTCTCCACAGCCAAAATATACCACTGAATTACAATTTTTGCACACATTATATATATAGACCTTTTTTAAAATCAGCAGATATTTAGATGAGCAGCAGCAAAGTCAGAATTTAGGTTTTCTAGACTCTAAGGCCAGTGCACAGGAGGGGGAGGAGGGGCCCGAAGGAGATTTGGTTTTGGTTTCTTTTTTCTAGGCAAAGGCTTTCCTACCATACTTTCATTTCCCCGACAGACTTCCCTGAAACTAGGCACAAACAAGAAAACCAGAAAGTTTTCAGCCCATAAATTAAACAAAATGCAACTTAAGTAACAAACTTAAAATTTAAAAATGCTTAATTGTAGGAATTTGTGCAATGTCGCTAAAGAAATTACTTTCTAAAATGTTTTAACTCTAGCAGTTTAAGAAGCTGAAAAGAGATTCTTTGTAGGAAAACAGTCTAAAAATATATTCTATGGTTATATGAGAATCATACAAGCAATTCAGTCAACTAAATCTTCAATTTATAAATAACCAAAGACATTTATTTACGAAAAATTTCCCCCTCAAAATATTTTCCATAAAAATTGACTGCAATTGCCAGTGTTGTAAAATACTACAGCTTAAATCTGTACATGAATAAATAGTAGCCTATCAATAGGCCACAAAAAAGCACAAGAATTTTTAAAGTTGTAGGAAAATTACAGTCAAATAAGAATGTGGCCAACCTTCTGCAGACAGCATGCACAATTTTGACGGAAAACCCCACCAAACAGCAATCACAAGCTGGCAGGGCTTCAGAGAGATATTGGGGTGGGTTTGTATTTCTTAAAGGTTGTTTCCAGAGGAAACTCATCTAAACACCAGAGAATTTCATCTGTTACTGACTCAGAGAAAAACAACATTTGGTTCACTAATCTGTCGAGTTTCTGAATGCCTGTTCTTGTTTTTGCCCAGCAGATCCCTGTTTTCAAGTCATGGCCAACTCCACTCCCTCTTAGATGGTGAAATTTAAGATCACAGGTATGAAGACTCACCAAGTTTGGAGAAGAATGTTTTATATGTAATAGTTGAGGACACGAGCAGCACTTCCCTGCTCTCTTTTAGCTCTAGATGGCAAATCCTTCGGTGTGTGGTGCCAGATTTAGATACAGCAGCACTGCAGGTCCTCCGGGGACCACACCAAATGTACTGGTACCAAGCCTAGTATGCTGCCAGTGGTTTGGCATCGCTGTTCTGGCAGGCAGCATTGCCATCAACTTTTGCAATAAAAATAAAGAATCCAAAGGGCAGTTTGGGCAGATAAACAGACATAAGTCGCTCCTCAGTTGTCATCTTAAAATACATGCTTAACTTTAAATTCTACTGAAACAAACAGGTGTAAAGGTCTACATGCTGAAAAAATGGTCTGTGTTTTTTACTCCTATTAGTTGGCCAAGTCAAAGTTACTGTTTTTCTACAGGCTAAATTTGGACCAAAGAAGTTGCAGAACTTTATGCACAGGGAATGTGGCTCTCAGCAGGGACGTACACAGCAACATGTCCTAGGATGATTTCCAATCAAATGTCTGTAGTTGTTGCTGGCTACAGCTCTGTACAATTACGTTAGCTTGCAGTAAATTTGGAAATCATGGTTGCCACACACAACTCCTTCAAGGACTGATCATCATACTTCTAACCGCTAACTCAAAATGAGTAAACTGAAAGTACAAAAATATGACAATTGGAGCTCTGGAAGGCAAGTATACAACTGTGACACTTTTTAATCATGCATGATTAAAAAGGTATGCACTATCAGAAAATGCATCTTGTAATTTGATTTTCAACTTAGATTCTAGGAAAGTTTTTCAACAGTATCTAAGCCACATAAGGGTCTATGAAAAAATTATTAAATAAAGAAAAAGGAATGCTACTATATTAAGCAGGTGGAATATAAAACCAAACATGCAACCTTTACATAAGAGCACATATTTTGTACCATGTTTTCATTTAGTGAAAATTTTAGGTAAAAAAAAAAAAAAAGGGAAAAAAAAAAGACCAAAGCAGCAGTGATTCCTTTCAATAGAATTAATATTTGATTAATTGGTAGCTGAAATAAACCTGAGTATTTAATCATAGGGATTTGGGGTTTTTTGTTTGTTTTGTTTTTTGGGGGGTATTCTGGTGGTTGTTTGTTTTGGGTTTTGGGGGTGTTGTGGTTCTTTTTTTTTTGGTTGGTTTTTTACATATCAGTAGTAAGAAGAGTATTACCCAGTGGAAGACCTGGAGAACCAAAGAGCTGCACAAGTTGAAAAGCAAATCCTAATGATAAGGGAAGTCCCAGAAAACTATATTTCTTATTCACATCTGGATTATCTTCATGTTGTGAGGCCTCTGCTGGCTCAGGGTCATCTGCTTCGTGCACATTTTCACCGCAGCTTGTCAATATACTAGAATCTTCTGGATATTCAGAAACAACTTTAACAGAAGACAAAATATCTGGTTGGCTATTTGTAACCTCTGAAGAAACTTGTTCACTCTCGCCCTCTTTTTTATCAACTACCTGTTGTTGCTTAAGAGTTCTAGCTTGCTCCTCCTTCGTCCTGGAAACGACACAAACCCTGCAGGAATATTTTGGCATAGGAGAAGATTGTCCCGAATGAATGTAAGAAGTATCATGTAACAGAGCATCTGCATCCGGGGTGGGTAAGGAATAGGTTGCCTCGGTGCCACTGTAAGGTGCAGAATATTCCTGCAATGCACGGTTCTGCTCACATTCCTCTCCACAGTCCTTGCTTAGAAAACTCTTTTGCTCCACTTCTAAAACACTTTTTGGGGGAACATCATCTTTTCTTGGGACTTCCTTTCCTCCCTCTGTACTACCAGCAATCTGTCGTGGTAGATTAAACTTCGGTGCCAAGTTGACAATTCTTCTGTACCTTTTCCTCTTTGATGTAATTGGTGCAGCATCATTTCTTGGAACATTTACTTCACTCGAACACTGCACGAAGGTGGCCCTGGCTTCCACAAGGGAATCAAGGTGCACTTCACCAGCTGGAGATGCCGATAGACCATCGCTTATTATATGACCAGCTTCCTCAGTTACTGTTACCTGATGGTTTTCCTTTACCAATCCTTCATTTGACCGATAGCAATTTAGCTGTGTTGAACTGTTCATATGAGTCTGTTTAGGTTTCCTTATTTTTGGGGGTCTTTGTTCACTTACAAATTTATCCTCAGACCAAGAAGAGAGAGAAACTTGTGTATCAAAGTCCAGCTGCAATTCCTCAGTAGGTAAACTAATTGAAAAAAAAGCCCAGGCATTGGAGCTATTCTCTTCTGCTTTTAATGCACCTTTGTCCTCCGTGTTATTATCACGCACGTTAACACGTGGGATTGAATTGTAACACTGAGAGATTTCTTTTTCTTCACCATTTAAACTTAACAGCTTAGCTTCCATGTCAGGTTCACATGTAATTTGATATGATCCAAGTTTGTTTTCCATGCTTAACAGTGGCGTGTTATAATCTCCAGAGATGCCTTCTGTTTCCTGGATGGAATTTTTATCATTGCTTATTTTTAGGAAACTGCTTCTGCAAAGATTTTCTTTGTGCCTTTCATTTGTTTCCTCATCATCAAATGCATTTTTGGTTAGGTCTTCAGTAGAAAAAGGTTTTACATCTATCAGAAGTGAACTGTCGCTTTCTACAGGCAATTCATTTTTCAATGCACTGTTCAACATCGTTGAGACCTCAGACACAGCAACGGGAAACGTTTCTCTTGAAACCACTGCAGCTTCTTTTAGGCTTTCATCATCACCATTAGGCTGCTCTTCACAAACTGTTACTGGATCCTCTGGACCTTCACTGAATGTACACAATGATTTGCTGTTTTCTTCTTCTGAATCATCCTCTTCACTTTCTGATGTGTCCTGGTCATCTGGAACTGGATGATGAGCTGCTCTGCCTAACTTCTTCTTCATCATTTCTGTATGATTGCCTTTCATTTTTTTGTTTCTTCTTCGCTTTTTCCTCTGCTTTGCTTTTGTCAACAGGTGCCCAGGGTTCTTCTTTAAAAACGTCTCCCTGTGTGAAAATAATAAAAAAAAAAGTAAAATAAAAATAAAAATAAATTTCAGTAATAATGTATTCATGGTGTTCAATTTGAAATAGGTACTGTATTCATGGTGTTCAATTTGAAGAATAGGTACTTTATGTTAATATGATGATCAAACACAGACCATCAGCTTTGCTAAATAATCTCAAATAAAACCTTCTACTGATTAAATAAATGTACACCTTACAATTCAGAACAAATCTTGAACATTTTAAACCAATTTAAATAAACATAGCTGCCATCTCATTAACTTAGTTTTACAAAAAGTATCACAAATCATTGCAAGACCAAACAACATGTTTCTGGATGTCTTTCTAAATGATGTTTGAATAATAGATACTAAAGAGCTACTGCTATTCTGAAATTTCATTAAATGTCATGCTGAGCAGAAAGGTACTAAGTGGAGGACGTAGTTAGAAAATTTCATCCCTTAAGATTAAATGGGCTATACGTAGATAAGCTGGACTCAAATTCAAAACATACTAACCAAAAATCTGAATAATGTAAAGGTACAGTGACTACAGCAACTGTGATATTTACTGCTCAGTATATTATGTGTGGACGCATATGTATTTGGAAAAAATATTTAATATTTTATTAGCAACAAAATAATATACTACAGAAAAATTAACACAGTTGTAGGCAGTTATTTACAATTAATTTTGTAGCTCTTTTCAGAACATCTGATTTTTTTTGTCTGCATTTCTCATTGAATTTAACAGATAGCAGCTCTAACAGTGACTTCTCTGAAATCTTGATGTTAGCCCGTCAGCCAGCTAACCCTGAAATGAACACACGTGAGAAAAACCTAGTCCAGAAATCTAACTTCTCCCTATGCAACTCTTCAGAGAGAGATAAGATTTTCAAAGCTAAGTTTGACTGATAAATCTTCATATCGAGGATCTGCTCCTTTTATGTAATTCTTCGCTTTTCTGTAACTCTTTGTTCAGGATGGTACTTCACACAACACACTAAAGCAAACAAAGCAGTAGCTGGAAGAATTATAGGGTAAAATTAGTTATTTTCCGGGAATCATATGTAACAAACTGTTTTAAGTGCTGTATTCTGAAATTCTTAAGCTCTTTGTTCAGGATGGTACTTCACACAACACACTAAAGCAAACAAAGCAGTAGCTGGAAGAATTATAGGGTAAAATTAGTTATTGGAATGGTCTCATATGTAACAAACTGTTTTAAGTGCTGTATTCTGAAATTCTTAAGAGAGAACTTAAAAAAAAAAAAAAAAAAAAAAAAAAAAAAAAGGGGGAAGTTGATTAAAG